TAGTTTAGATATTTTTCGTACGGAGCGCACGACAGTCGAACCTATCCCGTTCTTTCTCTAATATAATATCATATTTTTTTATATATAAATGAAATAATTTACATTTTTAAAAAAACCAACATTATATAGCTTGTATTTAACTAATTAAATTACTCGTTCTCTTTCTGTATTCGTTATTTCTTGTCCCGATATTTGAAATATTTAAGTAATTTGAAACTTACTTTTGCTATTTAAATTTCATATTCATGTATAATACCCGTCATTTGATATTTAAAAGTTGAACTTGAATTTAAGTTTCCAAATTTTTTATACCATCTTGTTTTTGATGAGAAATAGTTATATAATTCTTTTTTTTTGAATTAACCGTTTCTTTTTGTGCTCGTTCTTTCCTTCTAAGATAAGATTATATATATATTTTTTTATAAATGGCATCATTTACATATTTTTTTTTTAAAAAACAACATTATATTGCATGTAATTAACAACATTTAAAAAAACAATACCGTTAATTATTAGGTTGTAGAAACGTATACCTTGTAATTAGAGTATAATGTTTTATTTTGTATTACCGTAAAATTTGAAGAAATGTAAGCAAAGAGTCACATTTATAAACTACGAACTTATCTCTGTTTAAATCTTCAAAAAGAAATGAATCAATTGAACAAAAAATATATTAAATATTTTACTAAGTAATGAAAATTCAAATAACTATTTTATTCCATTAACTGTTTAATTCTTTTTGTGGATTGGCAATGTTATATTATATGAAAAATATAATAATCGTGTGATATGATTTCCTGAACTTACTTAAAACTATTAAATGCTAATTGCATATTAGTTAATATCCAGCGAAATTGGGGAGTTAATATATTATTAAATTGATGTTAATAATAAAAAATGTTTATTTGATGATTTTATTTTTGGTCACATGCTATATTGGTTTTTTAAGTATATTTCAAGGAAATATATAAATATCAATTTTGTTGAATATTTCTCCATATTTTATGCTATTGTAAAATATATAACATATTTATTTTTCTTTTATTTTTCCTAAAACATCAATATAAAACAAAAAAATATATATGATGATTTTTGTAACGCAAAATAAATATATATCATATCATAAGAGTTATACAAAATACAAATAACATAAACACTTGAATAAAATCAATAAACCAAATAAAAAATACTATAGATTAGATTTTATTAAATATTAAATTATTGTTTAAAAATATCTAAAAATGTTAAATATGTTATATACATGGAGATTTTCGAATTTAATTTTCCACTTTTTTGGCAACAAAATTAGTATGATCCATAAATATAGGTAGTTTCTGTTTTTTATTATTTATTTATTTATTAAAACATTTTTGCTGCCATTAGTTTTGTTTGGCAACTGAAATATATTTCATGAAATTTTTTTTTAAAAAATTGGGTCTGTTTGGCTTCAAGTTGTCCTTCTCAATTAATAGTATAGATTATACAATTAATTTCTGGATAATCTCAATGACTACATCCCACCAACCACTGTCGATGAAACTTAGGCAAAAAGAAAAAAAAACGTTTAAGTGGCTCCAATGGTCAAATTGAGTCAGAACCACACTTCACAATCACACAAAGAGACCATTCTTTAAAAAGATGATATGCGCAAGACTCCGACCGCTAGTATCCTCACCTTTAGCTTTCACTATCTCCACAACCAAACACTCCTCCTCAATCAATCTCCGATTACTCCCTCGCCGCTCCTTCTCCGCCGTAACCGCCATGTCTTCTTCAACCCCACCACAGAGTCAGATCATAGAACACATCGTCCTTTTCAAAGCTAAAGACGACGCTGACTCCAACAAAATCGCCTCCATGATTAACAACCTCAACGCTCTTGCCTCTCTCGATCAGGTGCTTCACATCACCGCCGCTCCTCTCCACCGCCTCGGATCCTCCGCCTTCACCTTCACTCACGTCCTCCATAGCCGTTACGGATCTAAAGAGGATCTCAGCTCCTACGGTGCGCATCCTGAGCATGTTCGTGTTGTTAAGGAATCTGTGTTACCGGTCTGTGATGACATCATGGCCGTTGATTGGATCGCGGATCGAATCCCCGGTACCGTAGCACCGCCTCCTGGTTCGGTTGCTAAAGTCACGTTTCTCAAATTGAAAGAGAATGCATCCGATGAGGCGAAATCGGAGATTACGGGAGTGATTAAGGGACTCAGTGAGAAATTTCCTGGGATTGATCAGATCACTGTGGGTGAAAACTTTTCTCCGGCTAGAGCTAAAGGTTTCTCAATTGCTTCGATTGCGTATTTTAAGGATTTGAGTGAAATGGAAGCTGTGGATGCTCAGAAAGAGTTGGTGAACTCGCAAAAGGATAAGGTTCGGGACTATGTGGATTCTACCATTGTTGTTGAGTTCGTTGTGCCGTCTTCTTCACAGACTTCTTCTAGTCTGTAGAAAAAGGCTTTAAATTTCAATCCTTGGAAATACTTGGGGATATATTTTGTCCATTGTCTCTGCAATTTGACTATTTGAGAATAAAAAAGCTTGTTTTTAGGAGATATGAATGTTTTCTTATTCATCTGAGAGCAACCAAAAGCATTTCCGTATCTAGGAATGAGAGATTTTTAAGCACGAAGAAGCCTTTGAGCAATCAATATGATTCTGGTTAAGCTATTAGTAGCTACATGCAACGGAGCTACTCTTAAGAATATTTACACTTACGCCAAAACCAAATTGCATAAAAACCTCACTTGAACTTAAAAAAAGGTATCTTGGCTTCTTTACTCTCTTTTGTCCCAAATGTTGATAACAATCTTTTTTAGTCTCAAATGTTGACACGTCTGGCTGGTTTGTCTCGAGAATTCCTGCAACTTAGTCCATCTTGCAATGAAGTTTTCCAGTTGCAGCAAAGCGATCTAGTTCCCCGTTACACAAATAGAACTAAAGATGCTCTGTTTTGATAGAGCAAGGTCCGGGTAAGATAAAGGTAGATAAATGATAAAAGAGTTAGTTTGGCTTCCTGATATAGAAAATGTACAGAGACACCAAATGCCTTTGACTTTGATTGTCACAAATGGGTTATATATAAGGTTTTAGTCCAGGTATAAAGCAAGTAACCCCAACGAAAAAACATAATGCTTATGAGCAAGTGAAAAAACATAATGCTTATGAGCAAGTGGGAAGGATTCTAGTCTAGGATCTGAGTGTAGACAAAGTCTTTTAATGTAAAATTTCACATTTATACCACTTAACGAAGATTCTTCGAAGCTGGAATCATTTTTCTTAGTTGTGTTATTTGCCGTTTCAGATGTTTTTTTTTCCCTTTATTTTTAACGTCTTCTTCGTCTTAGACTCGGTTAACTCGTCCCAAGTCCCCGAGCCCTCGATTCTTACTAAAAAGGGAAAAATGGTACTAATAAATTCTATGAATATAATCGATTAAGAGATTGAAAAATAAATCATGGATAGTAATTATCACTTTATGAAAGAATTGGTCGTACAACCTGATGTGACCTTGCTGATCTCTCTGTGAGATCACAAAAATTCAATGTAGCTCTTCCTAAAAAATTCTATCATCCCAAAAGACAGACAAGACTCTGTGCGCATAAGATAAAGAGTACACAAAATCCCCCACCCTCCCAAAAAACTCCTTTATGAATACAACCAACTCAAAAAGAAGAGACACAACACAACACACTCACGGAAGAAGAAGAAGATGAAATATAGTACACACCTTTTAAATCATAAGAGACTTCATCCTCATCAACCGCAACCACACGGTTTCACAAGGTTCTAGAGATGATGGCTTCTGCTAAAATTCACAAATCTGCTTCTTCATTTGTATAACCTGGAAGCAAGCCACTATGCCAAATAATTATGAACGACAATCTCTCACCAAAATGACACCATTTGTGTACCACACTGTCACTTTGATCCAAAGCTTTAAGATCACTGAGCAGCAACAGGAGTAGAAGCAGCTTCTGCTAACTTCTTTTGCTTCTCTTTCTCAATCTCCACTCTTCTCAGCTCCGCATGCTGTGCTATACCGTTTGCAATCGCCTGGTAAGTGAAGTCCAGTGACTGGTTAAGGTTCTGAAATCTCTGCGCATCTGATGCCTGCATAACTGTATAATGGACAAGGACGTGATTATTAAGCAAGATGTACACAAGAGACAAAAAAAAAAGCTTCATATCGTATTGAGTGGTCGAATGGTAAGGATTTTATGTAGTGGTACCTCTAATTGCATCGACAAAGAATACAAAGGCATCCACCTCATCCATGGGTGACTGAAACTCGTCGTCATCACTAAAGTCATCATCGGAATCGTCGTCGTCATCATCATCCTCATCATAGTGGAAGGCCTTTGCCTAAGAAACAGATAAAAGAATCGGATAACAGTCAATTCTAGCAACAAGTATGATTCACGGAAGCAAGTCGATACAAACACTTGACAAACCTGCGCAGCTAACTTCTGCAGCTTCACGCTTTGTGCTTCATCTCCATCCTCAGCATCATCCATCCCCATCTCCCCATCAGACCCATCATCATCATCACCGTCCTCATCATCACTGAGGAGTCCATTCATTTCATCCTCATAGTCCACTTCTGTTTCCTTTGCTGCTTCTGCGAGGAAAGATTGGAAAGGCAATAAATGTAAACATTACAATGCCAAGCGAATAGAAAATGGATCATGAGCAGGACATACCAGCTAGCTGATTCTTATATGCAACTAGAAGATCAAGTGTTGCCCTGAAAACCTGCTGCAGCGCGTCATCGGGTAATTGACCACCCGGGAGAGCAAGTAACGAAGTCAAACCCAAGCAGCAAACTTTTTTATCATGTTCCCTGGTACAAATAGAGAACCTCTTTGTCAGCTAATCAAAGCGAACAATAGAGTGTCCAACCATTACGCATATGAGCTAAGATGCACCCGATATGTCATAACAAAAAGGATCAACAATACCTTTTGAAGTTGGCAGGCAGGCCACTTTTTCTCTTTTGCTGCAACATCTGGAACCAAAGGTCAAATACTTTGGAAGCAAGTCCTGTGTTATGCAATACACCAAGTGTCAAGCCTGGATTGTAGTAAAGCATATTTGCCACCTGCAAACATAAATCAAGCTTGTCATTTATCATTGTATCATCAACAGCAGAATCAGTTCATATATGAGCCACTTGATTTATATAATAACACTTGATTAAATATACTAAACAGGTAAGTAAAAATCAACCAGTAGCAAGCCAACAAATCCTCCAATAGTTCTTACCACTTGTATAAGAAGAGATTTCAAACATGAAGTCTCAGCTCGTTGTAACCGGTCAACAGTGAGTCGCAGATATGGTTCAACCCACTGATCCACCTGCCCTTTGCAATTCTGGAAAACAACTTCAATAAGCTTTGGAGCCGACTCAATATCACTGTCTTCTATGTTTCTGTCAGTCATAAGCTGTAGAAGTGGAAACGTGAGACATATATTAGCTATGAAGGTAATAAATGCTAATGTCATGCTGACATATAAGAACTGTGCTTGTACAGCGAAAGAGATGCTTATAAATGTTTTGGCAGCAAGAAAAGTCAGAAAATTTGTTAAACAAAGGAAGATTCTATGCTTCATGATATGTGCAAGAATGGTAAGACCTTACAGTTCTTTACAACAATGAACAAGCACATACATATAATTACAGTACTCACAGTTGAGAGAACATTAAATAGACTTTGCTGATAGTCGGGCTCCTTGCAAGTGAGAAAATGAGCAGTTCCCCTTGATATAAAGTTGTCCATCGGAACCAAAATATCTGAATTTTCAAAGAGTAACTTAAGTGAACGTAAGGAAAACAATGAATAACATGGAAGTGTTACAGTGATGCAGTCAACTGTAGAATCTAGAATGAAAAAAAAATGTGAGAGAAGCCATACTTGGAAAGAAATCAATTGCCCAATCAACCAATGCTTCCACCATTAAAGGCCAGAGACTCCATATATCCAAGGAAATGTTAGGTGAATAAAATGTCATGTATGATGCAATCTCCAAAACTTCTTCAAATACCTCTGCCATAACAAATAGGATGAGAACATAAATACTTCAGTGTCAATTATTAGATAGCTTCAAAAGGAAATGAATAATCTTGAGATCATGATGCAACGACACTACAAAGGGCTGACAAAAATAATGGACATAAAATTCCCATAAAAAAAACATACTAATGGAATGAACCCAAATAGCTAACGGAGCAGTCCAAAAGTACATCATCTGGTCACAACTATAACTTAATTATGTTCTCCAGAGTCTACAAACTATAGTCCAAAGCTAAATGAGAAACTCATATCATTATACCTTGGCCATCAGTGGTCAACATTTTCTGCATTATTGGAAGTATAGTTGGTTCTATCTCAACAAACAGCTGTGGAAGACTGCTAACAGATTCAAGAATTGTACTTATGGCACGCAAACAACCAACTGCAGCCAAAGCTCCCATGTCATCCGAGTCATCATTGGCTTCTGACGTGTTTAGACACCTCCAAAATGCAGCCGCCTGAAAGGAAAGAAAGAAATACATATACATAGCCTACTTTAAATATTCAAGAAAACAAGAGTCATAGAGAACAGTTTTTCTTACCAGATTTTGACATAATCCAAAAGCAAAAGGAGCCATCTCTTCGCCAAACTTATCTACGATGGTCTCCAAAGTAAATACAAGGTCCTCATTCTCTACCTCATTCATGAGTTTGAAGAATTCTGGTGGAAGCAAGATGACAATAAATTTGAAGCATTATTTTACTTCGACAGTACTGAACATTTCGTATTCATAAAGAAGGGTAACTTACCATCAAGTAACTGAGGGAGGATTGGACGAATCTCATTTAAATCTGCATTTGACAAAAAAAAAAATTAGCCATACAGAATCAAGAGGCCAACACGCACAGATAAACAAGTGCAAAAGCATTCATCCAATATACAAATGTGTAGGAGAAAAACACATACCCTTACAAGCCTCGACAAATGAACGCAATGCAAAAACAGAATCAACACGAACAGGGAGGTCAGGATCGCGCAGTCCAGAAACAACACTGTGCAATGCTTTACGAAAGTTATTCTGATCTGAGAAATCGATATGTGCATATTGTCCAGCTACCCATGCGGCCTACATCCAGAACGGACAGTCAAACAGATCAAAGGGTGTCTCAAAGAATATCTATATAAAACTAAACAGTATTGTATCAGTACAACATAATTCATGGAAATACAAAACAAAAACCTCAACAGTATTGTAGTAACAATTCATTACTGAGATATCCACACCACAGTTTAAAGCCAAAAAATACCTTTGCTCTAAGATGTCCAACTGGACTACTGAACTCAGGAAAAATATGTTGCACCAACATGCGCTCGAGTTCAGATTTATAGGGACCCGTTTGCTTCAATTTGTCACAAAGAGCTCCAACAGCAAGCATCGCACCATCTTTTTGGCGATAAGGCTTATGTTCTGCAGGAGCTTCGTCATAACTACAAACAGTGTACAAGCAAGTTGTCAATAAAATAAAACTAATAGACCAAGTTCCAAGCATAAGAGCTCAAATGTAATACCTCCTGAAGATCCCAACGACAAACTGAACAAATTTCGGAAGGTTCTCTTTCCCACGTTTTCGAACCAACTCATTTACAAAATCCATGGACGCTGTTCGCGGACTATACAAGTCTTCAATGATATCTAGAGCACAGCAAATAACATTTAAAAGATGTATTTTAAAATTAAGAGTTTTATGAAATTAATTATTATGTAGTACTTACTGTAGCCTTTCCTCACATATTCATGTGGGTCTTCCTCCCAAAGCTTTTGATCATTATCATTAAAGCACATTAGAGGGAAAACAATCTCAAAAAGCAGAACATCCAGCCGGGGTAGTAGCAAATTGTACATGCTATTCTTCAAAATGCTGCAGATACAATGAATTAGTTGCGGTGAATGAATAACATTCCTTTGACGAGAAATACTACATATGCCAAATCTGTTAGAAAATGAAGGGACATCTTAAATATCCCAAGTTCAGAATGCTATCTTGCATGTATAAGATAAATTAGCTTGTCATTAGAAATCGTATCATGAACTCTAAACCATTTCAGAAAGTATATGCAGCGAGTTAATTGATCATGTAAGAGATCAAAGCTCCGAAAATTCAATGACATTCTAAACTCTCAAGAATACACCTTTCTAAGAAGAGCAGGAAAAGACAAAAAAACTGAATCCTACCTGGCTAAGGTTCTCATTATATTCTCGATCATTACTGAGACATATTAACCAAGGAGATCAAACAAAAAAATTCATATACTTACATGTCTATAAAGTAGTAGTTTATACTGCAGCGGAGATGATAAAAATACATCGTAACACATGCTATAATGCAATAGTGTACAAGTATTGAAAAAATATAAAATTCTAAACGTGTTCTAATTAATTTTAAGAACTTAAAATTCAGTGCCAAAAATATTTATAATATCAGAGATATTATAAGTCTTTTTTTTTTGTTTTAAAAATATATTACAAGTTAGTGAAGTGGGGATACTGAATGTGTGCATGTATGTACGTAAACTAATGTCTACAAGGGATTGTAACACAAACCTGTTGCTTAAGTACTGAAGGAGAAGGTTGGTAACTCTGTCAGGAATATAGCCTCCAACACGAATTGTATTCAAGAAATTTAGGTGGCCTTCCAAAATTCTACCTGCATAATTCTTTAGAAACATCTGGGCAAAAGGTTTGTTTTCTGGACTTTGAAGTTTTGGATCTCCAAACCTATTAATGAGTAACAAATAATCAACAAACCTTCAACGCTTACATTTTTGTTTAAAATTTTCTAACATCTGGGACATACCGACTATAGAGCCTGTTTAATATGTGCACTGTCCATTTCTTGACCTTCCACCATCCCCAAGATTTTCTAAGTTCCGGATCCATAGGCTGGCCTTCAACAGGAACAGGACGCTCCGAAACACTCAAGAACAGAACCATCCAGGCATTAAAGACATTTAGATCATATAATTGCCTTGGAAGCTCCAGCTGCCCACAGAGAACAGTAAAAAATGATCATCTGGTGATTCTTCTTGAAAATTAAAACAAAGTAAAGATCAAGATATCCATCGATCATCATGAAAAAAAAAACTAGAACAGGGAGGTGTTCAGTGATACGCTCCCCAGCCCATGGTTTTAATCTTTTATTTATAAGTTGAAGATATTTTTAACCAAAAAAGAGAACAAATATGGAAATTGCGCATATGATAAGATATTATCCAATGCAACTAACAATCTCAGATACAAGAAAAAAGAGACAAGAGGGATCACAGATGGAGTTGAAACCACCTATCTAGGAATCCATGTCCACGTCTTTCACTTTGATAAAACAAATAATAAACAGAACAGTTAAACTGGTTCGAATTGTGTTTTAAGGATATGGAAATTATGTTAAGGACGATAAAATGTAAAATTCCGCAGAGGCACATGTAACTGATCTCTGTAGAAACTTACATATATGGATGACCAAAATATTTTGCATATCAACTTCATAAGTTCTGCTATCTCCAGAGAGGGATTTGGTATCTGGATAAGCCCATTAAAGATAGTCAAAAGTTGAGGAAATGTCTCCTCAACGATGCGGGAAACTGGAGTCCTCTCCTCGTCTGACTTGAACCTAGAAAATAAAATCAACGCAATCGACTACTTGTGTGAAAAAAATGAGACTGTCATCTAAATTAGCTGCCTCTTTACATGTAAAGAGCAACTTCCATTTTTAGCTGGAAGGTCAAAAACTTGACAGGACATCATGAATTGACAGAGCCATGGACACCATTGTGTTCTAGTAATACGTTTAAACACTCTCAATTCTTCTGCCTAGCACTTCTTTCCCTTCTATTCATTTTTTTCTACTCAGGAATGGTTACCACCTAAATTTATTAGTCACACTACTTATTACTTGTATGATACATGCAAGAGTTGGAACTGCGCTATTGTCAACGCAGATAATCATAGAGCTGACTCGATGAAGTATATCAATAATTTCAGTAACAAACCTTTAAAGCATACACGCAGGCATACGAATATGAAATGGAATGTGATGAACTTACTCATATTTTCTAGAGAGTATCCGCAACACAAACAAAGCCCCATAAATTTGTTGATTTTGCAAGTTGTACTTCACCCAATCCAGAAGACGTGGCCATTGTTCTGGGTAGTCAGAATAAATAATTGTCTTGAGGCACTCTCCAAGTTGTGATCTGGATACAAAATTTAGGGAAAGGATCAAATTATGGCTGTTGTTGAGGCTTATGGAAGATACTGTTGGGACCAAGGTCATGAGAAAAATGCAAACTTCAGAAAAATCATCCTCTATCTGCCGTTTTTTATATCTAGTAACTATGGATATTGCAAAGGCAAATCCAAAGATGTATATATTGACGTGAGGACTATCAGCTTGAAGAAAATCTATCAGACAAGATGATGAGCAATTTGTAGGCATGATTAGCCATACATGTTACATATATTTTCAAAAAATCGCTTAAAATTAGATCACGTCAGAGATCAGCTAACGAAATGACTTCAGTGATAAGTCCAAAAACTATCTTGTAAATTTACCTGAGTAAGGTTGGGACTTGGGTGACATAGACGAGGATATTATCTCTAACCAATTCTTTGTCGCTTTGCAATATCTTCTGTGGCATTCCTGCGCCACAAAATATGCAAATTAATATAAGATCTTGCAAAATTTAGGCCGGGAAAAGATGATTACGGTACAAATTATTACCAGAATCCTCAGGTGACCAGTTCTTAGCAATGAAATTTTTGAAATGAATACTAGCAATTTGACGCACTGCCATGTCAGAATTTCCATCCACGGCTATCTGCAATAACCTCACCAAATGCTGAGGTGTGTACTGCAGCTGCAAGACAGAGAATAACGGGCATCAGAACAGCAGAACTTGATCCATTAGTGGTAGTAAAATTACAACTGTAACGCCATTGAAATCTGACTATATACGGGAGAGTAAAGCAAATAAACATTTCTCAAAAATGAAATGGGCTTTGAAATATTTTGGAATATAAATCGGCAAAGTTAAAACGTTTAAGAAATATCTCTACATGAACTCAGCTCAAACTTTAAGATACACCTATCAAAAAGCTCCTACATTTCTGGGAATATCAAAAGCCAGCAACCGTGTACACATACATCCAAAGAGAATTTAAGTGAAAACTGAGAAACCTGATTGAGCTGCTGCTCAGAAGCTTTGCGTTCATCGGGAATCGGGCTGAGGGCGGCGGCCCGAAGGATCAACGAGAGGCTATGCAGATCCATCTCCTCCGTGGAGTTTGAAAAATCGGGACACTAGACAGAGTAAACCTTGTTGACGATCAGTGGAGGCAGTGGTGGATTCGATGAAAAAAATCAAGTTCGAAAGCCCTGGATAGAGCTGAATTGAGCAGGGGAGATTCTCAAAAGAGCATGATAGGGTTTTAGAGCGACAAGAATGGCGGAGAAGAAGGAGAAGAAGATTTTGATAATAGTTGGCGAGAGTGGAGGAGAGGGACAAAATAGAGCTGGACGATATAGAGTATTTAAATCCCTAGGGTTGTTTAACTAACCACCCAATTTCGGTTTTTGGTTGACCCGGGTCCTATATAGCCGGTTTAATTCGTACCGGGTTTTTTTTTTTGGGTCTGAATATGTGATTTTATTTATTTTATTTCCTTAAATGAATTTAGTTAGAGACCAACAAAGACAAGTGTTCCGGTCCTATTGTTTAAAAATAAGAAAAACATTGAAAATGTGGTTGGTACTTGGTATAGCTGATGCAGAATATTAAAATGATTAATTCGATTAATATATATGTCCAAGTAAAAGATGATTAATGCCATCCATTGTCAAGATGACATGAGCGAACTGTATTGTGTGACCATACAGTGTATAGTCCAACTTCTTTCTTTTTGGATGCCTAGAGAAAGCCAACCAACAAATGATGTGTGGTTGGATATTTTGACAACAAAATCCATCGAGACGTCTATAAAGTATAGGGTGGATAACCTGTTAATATGCCTTGGATATCTAAAAAACGACATTTGCTCTGTTATTTCTTTTGTCGCTAGCGACTAAAAATAACAATGTATGTTTCGTTTTAAATTTAACCAACAGTTTATTTAAAAGAGATGGTAAAAAATAATACTCATATTATTTAAAACGGTCGTTAATAAAAGTAGCAGCGCCTAACGACAGAAAATAGTAATTGTTTGCTGAAAAATATTACTATAAAGTGTAGTTAAATAATAACTATAGAACAAATCTTCGAGATTAAGATCGCTAAAAGGTGAATATAGCCATCACCATTATGTCTAAATAATATGAAGGTCATCAGTTGGACACAAGTACACACCCTGATATATTGATATGTGTACATTCTTACTTGTTCAATGTATATAACATCTTTGTGTGGATCCATTTAGAGCAATAGCAAGCATCAGATGCCGCATAAGGAAATGCAATTACAATTCAACCATGGTTGATACACCCTTAGTCCCTTATTTTTTTTGGTAGGAAACGGGAGACAATGTCCCCCGCAATTTATTCAAAAAACAAAAACTTACAAACGCATATTCCGTGTTCGAGTAGACCCACTAGCATCATCCAATAAAAGAGGCTTAACGCTCTCTCGTACAACATCAAACATATGAAAACCCGACAATAAAGTAAAAGCATAGTTCGCTAATCCATCAGAAAGACGATTAGCTTCTCTATACACATGACTAATACGGACTATCCAGTCCTTTGATAAGAAGTCATAGCACAAGCGTACTAGGAAAGACAACGGATGAGAGTCACTTATCTTTGTCGTAAGAAAGCCCACAACCACCTCTGAATCCACCTCAAGTTCGACACGCGTAGCCCGACGCTCCCATGGTATAAGTAGCCCGTAGTAGACACCCCATAACTCGGCCAACGGTGCAGAACAAACACCCAAAGTGACACAAAACCCGCCACGCCAATTGCCATCATTATCCCTCAAAACTCCTCCCGCTGCTGCCAACCCGAGATGTCCTCGCGAAGCACCATATATAACGTCTTGTACAAATTTATTTAGACGTGGAGTATTGATATCGGTATCTCATTTAGTCAGTCCAAAAGCTTACTAAATCTTTATGAACCCAAATCTCTAGAGAATATACAATTACAAAAATTCTATAACTAAATTGAAATTTAAAATTTATATCAACTAAAAACTTCATTAAATGATCAAATTTAAAATTTCAATTTTGTTTTCTTCTACACGAAATAAATTTATAATTATAATATCTACAAGGATAAGATATAATTATAATATCTATACAAAGAGATAAATGTAAAATAATTACACAATTACAAGCAAAATAGAAATAAATTGATATCACTTACGAAATCTATATAGGAATGATCGAGTCTATAATTTTTTGTTGACAACAATATGTGAAAACAAAAATTTGACATATTCATAAGTTTGACATATACATCTGACATTGAAATGTTTAAATTTTTGTTGTCAAAGTATTCTCTTTTTTTCTTCATAATATGGACAATTTTTGTGAAACTTTGCATAATTTTGTTTAAAAAATTCAGATATTTGCTTCACATATATACATACACTATAATCGTATAGATGCGGTGATATATAAGGAGAGAGAGAGCATTAGATTTAGATCTCAAAAAAGGTTGTAAACTCATCTTAATAAACCCGGCGGGAAACCGATAAAAGCCTTTGGCTTCTCCCTCCAAAGGATCTGTCGCCTTTTCTTTTCTTTTTTTTCTCTTCACCCCTTTTCATCGATTCTACTTTGTAAACCCTAATTTCTCTCATCCACGAAAACACTCGAAAGATTTGGGGGTTTAAGCGAAGGAAGGAGAGTGAGCAGGGCAAAGGTGTCTACTTTACGAAGCCCTGTGCTTTCTCCTTCCGATTTAATCTCCATGGCGTGTGTTTCGAATGATACCCAGATCGAAATTGATGTTCACGACCTCGTGGAAGCTCCAATTCGCTACGAGTCTATTGATAGTATGTACACTGTTACCTCCTCGGCATTGTGCTGTGTTAGCGCGGTTGGTTCCCACAGTCTGATGTCCAAGAAGGTCAAGGCCCAGAAGCTTCCGATGATTGAGCAATTTGACGTTGAAGGTAACGGTGTGAGTGCTAGTGCCGATTGTTGTCGTTCGGATGATTACAAGTTGCGGACTCAGCGTCCTGAGATTGTTCGCGTCTACTATCGCCGCCGTAAGAGACCGCGGAGGGAGTATTTACTAGATCAGGCGGTGGCTGTGAAGGCTGCAGACGTGGAGCTCGATGAAATTACTTGTTTTGAGGGGACGAAGAGAAAGAAGATTGATAACTGCGAGTTGAGAAAATTGAGTGTGAATTCAATTGGGTTAAGAAGGTGTAAGGGTAACAATGCGTTTAGCGGAAATAAGCAAAATGGATCATCCCGAAGGAAGGGCACTTCTATCAAAGATCAGGATAAGGCGACTCTTGCTTCTCGTTCAGCTAAGAAATGGGTCAGGTTAGGGTTTATCTATCATTTTTTAACTGTTGAAAGTCATGGACTTTGGAAATTGTGTGGTCTTTTCCGAGCTGTTAATTTGCACTGATGATATTCTTAGTTCAGACTTTGAATCTGTTGACCTTTAATTGTTAGTGGGCGACTACTATTTTTTTAGTGTTGTATGATGGGGTTTTAATGTGGCAGGTTGAGTTATGATGGTGTGGATTCTACAAGTTTCATAGGGCTGCAATGCCAGGCGAGTGTTTTAACTAGACAATTGTCCACTTTAAGCTATTGCATTCCACTTTTTCGTGAAGGGGACATCTTAACAATGGACTATCGTTTAATCCCTAGGTTTTTTGGCCCCTGGACGCTCTTTGGTATGAAGGTTCTATTGTTGGATACAGTGCGGAGAGAAAGCATCACACTGTAAGTAGTTCTCTACTCTACTTGAGTTCTGAGTTGGGTATTTTTGTGAGCTATGGAATATGTAAAAGCTTACTCCTCTAACAGTTGTTAAATTCTTTAGGTCAAATATGGGGATGGGTATGAAGAGCATATAGTTTTTGATCGTGAAATGATCAAATTTCTGGTTTCTCGTGAAGAGATGGAGCTGTTACATCTGAAGTTTTGTACTAGTAATGTGACTGTTGGTGTCTGTGATTACGATGAGATGGTTGTACTGGCAGCTACTTTGGACGGATGTCAAGATTTTGAGCCTGGAGACATTGTATGGGCAAAACTAGCTGGTTTGTACTAAACTAACTTCCACTTTGTATACATATGTCTTTATAAATAACCCTCTTTATCTATCAGCAAGTTGATGCTGTTGGGAGCATATAGAAAAAGAAAACTACCTACTGACTTCCATAGAACTGATTTGCTTTCCTATTCGGACAGGTCATGCGATGTGGCCAGCAGTTATTGTAGATGAATCCGTGATTGGAGAACGGAAAGGTCTAAACAACAAGGTATCTGGAGGAGGATCACTCTTGGTCCACTTTTTTGGCACTCATGATTTTGCTAGGTTAGTCAGTGTTTCCTAGATATATAAATATCTCGTTTTGCTACTGAGATGTTTAGATCAATGTCACACATTATCAAGCTGAAGTTAACATCCTTTGGTTTTATAGAATAAAAGTAAAGCAAGCAATCTCATTTATCAAAGGGCTTCTTTCGTCATCTCACTTGAAGTGCAGACAACCTCGGTTTGAAGAGGCCATGCAGGAAGCAAAAATGCAAGTCCCTCTCGCTTTTCTTTGGCATTCTGCTTTCTTGACTCTCCAGTACATGTTGCATTAACAATTAGACCAATAATATCTTCCGGATGTTTCTTGAAACCTGGACATGTTGCCTGTCCTGAAATTTCTGTTATTTGCCCACCCAGTTATCTGAAGCAACACAGGCTTCCAGCACGGATGAGTCAACTTCAAAAAGGAGCTGACTCCGATATGGCTAATAGTACAGAAGAGGGAAACTCAGGTGGTGATCCTCTTAATGACGGAGAAGTGTGGTTAAGACCAACAGAACATGTAGATTTCCAGCATATAATAGGGGATCTGCGAATAATTAATCTTGGTAAGGCTTGAAACTTACAAGTATGATGTATAATCTTTCATTCTATGGTTGATTATTTTCAGTTGGCTGTAGGAATGAACTCCATTTATAATATATAGGTGTATGAATTGTCTTACAGGAAAGGTTGTGACAGACTCTCAGTTTTTCAAGGATGAGAATCATATTTGGCCTGAAGGGTATACGGCAATGAGAAAATTCATATCATTAAAAGGTTATTTGTTATCATTTTTTGGTTTTTCCTTATAAATCAGGTACTTTTCCATGTTTGGTTGACTGAGACTAGTTCATCAATGTGACGTGGGTTGTTGCTTTTGGTTTTAAGCAGATTATAGTGCATCTGCCTTGTACAAGATGGAAGTGCTCAGAGATGCCGAGTCAAAGACACGTCCTCTGTTTAGAGTGACTGCAGATAGTGGAGAGCAGGTGAGTTAAACATATCTAC